ACAGAACAGCAATGCATTTTATGGACGACCGTTTCGTGAACCTAGGAGAGGAGGTAATTCTGACTTTGCTATGACAATCTGGCGTTACATTTCCGATGAGTGCTTGCGGTGTTCGGCCAATCATAATGCACTGGGTCAGCTGGCCAATCAGAGCAGACTGCGCTTGTCAAAGGAGGGGGCTTTGTTGAAAACGACGTGTTTGAGAGAGGCGGGGCATAGAGGACCTACAATAATGTACAGTATTTGAAAAATAATGTGTTTTTTGAACATTAAAGCATGTCAACATATTCTGTTTCACCAAATACACAAAATAATGATCTTTAAAATAGCATCATATGACCCCTTTAAAGAGACTTTGATACAACTCATGGAATATATTTCAAGTCCTTTGAATTTTATGATAGTTTTGTTTAGAACAGGCCAAAAATTTAGTTGTTTTTCATGGAAAATTGAGCTTGACCACATTTCCACCATGAAATGGAAAACTTTTATAACACAATTCCTTACTTTTTCTCAGAATTGTGAAAAATGTAGAACAATTGCACAGAATTGAGAAAAAAATTAACTTGCAATTCAGAGAAACTTTGAATTGTGAGAAAAATTTTGAATTTTCCTTTGTCTCAATTCTCATAATTTTGTCTAAATTCTCATTAGGGATGTAACGATGAACCGCGAGCCGGTTGAAAATTGATTCAAATATGTGACGATTCAAATCGGTTGAGATGCCAAACAAATTGTGAAACAATTGGAGTAGGAGTTTATATGAATGTATCTCTGAGGGGAACTGACTGTCTTTAGAAAAGTTTACATGGTATTTTATTTTCACCTTGCCTCTGAACGATGCATATGAAAGTAGTGTTGATAAGCCTTTGTTTACAGCGGTAACCCAGGAAACACTATATCATTGCTGTACACAAGCGCCACGTGCTGGCAGAAAATGAATTTGCACTCATTAAGCTCATCTGCTGTTTTGTTCAGATATGTTTTATGTAGTATAGTTTCACAAAACTAAAGTCAGACCATTCTGTTTTTGCTCCAAATTTCGAAATTATACAGTCTAATTTAGGCCACGTTCACACAGCAGCAGAATACGGTTGTCAGTCCTGTATTTGAGTCCTTAACACGGTTACGTTCGCACACAGTTTGGTTATTTACAGGTGTGACAACCGCATTCTGTAACCAAACTCACACCTGTAAATTTTCAGGATTCACAAACGCATTCTCGGAACACACACGCTGTGTGAACGGAACAGGACTGGACAACTAGTTGTCTGTCACATCTATATAGCGTGAGAGAGAGCCTCTCTGCCGCACAAACGCGCGTCTACCGTCTATTACGTGTTTTCATGTGTGTTTTCGGTAATTTACAGTGATGGAGAAATGAACTGCGTGTCATCTGAACGTTTTAGATCCCGTCAGTTTTCCACGGGAGACGCTCTCTTCCGTTTTGTGTTCTGCACGTGATTCAAATGCTCCGCTCTCCACCCAAATTTAAAAGCTGCTGTCGGTTAATGAAGATTTGATGAAAGAACTCACGGCTCGATTGGACTCTTGTCGTTTCAGAAAGTGATAAGATTTTCAGTTTTATGGACATTGCCATCTTTGATTTTACTTTGGTCACTGTCGCTATAGTTACTGGTAAGGAATACGGGCTTGACTCCCATTGCACGTTCATACAGACAGTATTCTAAACACAACTGTAAGCTGCTGTGTGAACGGGACATTTCGAGACTCACACCTATAAAGAAAATGCGGTTGTCAATCCCAAAAACTGACAGTGTGACGTAGCCTTAGATTAAAAACTGCTCATGCTGCATGTAGGGCCTATGCTGAATCTTTGTTTGGATCATGATTAAAATGCAGTGGTTGCCTCTAACTTTAACCTAAATGCAAAGAGCACAGACAAAGCCTTATGCCTCGTGCACACGGGACGATTACCGCGCACACTTATCTTGTGTGTTCATACCAGTTATGACGAGTTATGAATGAATGAAACGCATTTGTCTGTGTTTCACTCTGTCTCGAATCGCGCTCACAGAAAGCGCTTGAGAAACAGCGTCTCTTCCGCGGCTCGGTACGCTTTCCACTCTTTTTTTTTTTTGCCTCGAGCAAGAGACTGTATGACACTGACGTTACGTGATTTGACTGATTTTTACGTAGAAAGGGCGACAGCGAACCGCATTAAAAGAAATTAATATTCATGTTTTCATAACCGCTGGCCAAATTCACAAACGAAACTAAAATTAAATCATCTTTGAGAGCAAGGGGGCCCCCTGGTGTTTCGGGGGCCCTACGCAGCTTGCGTACTTTGCGTATAGGGAGGATCGGCTCTGGTTCATACCCAAGTGATTTTCACTGGCGATGAGCCGAGTGAACATGCAGATTCACTCACTGACATTAGATGGCGCTTAATGAAAAACAGAAATGCCCCGGTACACATCGAATCCTATTTGGTCTGCAATTCCTCTCCATAAAAACTCCCTCTTATCAAGATTTTTGTAGGACTTCGCTGTCGCGTTTGTCATAAAGCTCTTTGTGTTCAGACACCAATGAGACCAGCAGCTCTACATTCATCTTGCCTCGATGCTTCTTCTTCGTCTGCTTACTTCCTCTTCTTTGTTAGGTATCAGTGAAAACAAGCTTGTCACAGTTCTCACAATTCTTACTTTTTTCTTGCAATCCTAAGTTTATATCTTTAAATTCTGAGAAAAAAGTCTCAATTGTAAGAAAAAAATTGCAATTTTTATTTTATTTTATTATTATTTTTTTTTTGGATAAATTATTTGGAAATAAGCTTCCAGAATGTTCCCTTTCATTGTATGGAAAAGAGCAGCTTGAAGCAAGCATACATGGTCATCTAGTGTACTATATTTGTCTGAAACAGCTGAAAATAAATGTCTTTATGTTGTGTTTTGACAGGTAATGTTCACAGGAGACAATATACCCGTCCATCCCCATGTTTATAGCAATGGCCACATCTGCCTGTCCATCTTAACGGAGGACTGGTCACCAGCTCTTTCGGTACAGTCTGTTTGTCTTAGCATTATTAGCATGCTGTCTAGCTGCAAAGAGAAGGTAAGTGTCTCACGCAACAATGCAGTGGTTTCGTTGATATGTTTTGATATCTGTTTTGTAACTTAGTTATTGTATCTCTTTGGATTTTAAAGTTATAGTGTGGATCAATATGTAAAGAGAACACATTTAGGTTCTAATATGGGACATATTAGACGGATATGTTTGTTCATTAGTTACAATAGTAAGACATTAACCGCCATGTCTGGTGTCTCTCTAAATCAATGGCTTACTAATTATAGTCCTTGCTTAAAGGTGTCTTAACGCTGATGTTTTATAATTGACTGTCTATACGAGCTTAGGGACAGGAACAGAAAACAGAGTTGTTAATCAAACCCTAAGCATTTGTTTTCAGTTTACATAAAACATACAGTTAATACACATTCACCAGCCTCTTTATTAGGTACACCTGTACAAGTGCTCATTAATGCAAATATCTAATCAGCCAAGCACATCAATGCTTTTAGGCATGTAGACATTGTCAAGAAGATCTGCTGAAGTTCAGACCGAGCATCAGAATGGGGAAGAAGGGTGATTTAAGTGACTTTGAACATGGCATAGATGTTGGTGCCAGACGGGCTGGTTTGAGAATTTCAGAAACCGCTCATGTACTGGGAATTTCACGCATAATCATATCTAAGATTTACAGAGAGTGGTCTGAAAAAGATATGAGAAGCAGATCTGTGGGTGAAAATGCCTTGTTGATGTCAGAGGAGAATGGCCAGACTGATTTGGGCTGATAGAAAAGCAAGAGTAACTAGGGCCCTATGAATTCCACGATGCAGAAAACGTGGACGGAATCACGGAATCCAATCATAAATATGGAATTTACTGTATTACTTGGAATGTCACGGAATTTGTCAAAATTTGGATAAATATATAGTTCAGTCATGAAACTCTAGATGGCGCATTCTGCCAGGTGTTAACGTAACTGATGATATTCAGAGAGTTAAATGACTTGGCACAAGCACAAGCTGCCTTGCATTTATATGGCTGGCTAGCATTCACTTGAGATTCCTGCAGCGCGCTTTCAGAGTTCTCTGAAATGCTCCACCTTCCCCAGCTCCACCTGTATAGATCTGCTACGGGGTTATTTTATATGCTATTTGTGCAGCAGCGGTATGTCTTAAATACTCATGGCACAGTATCGCCATATGCATTGGCAGTAGCAAGTTCCTGTACTTGCTTGCAGCAGCAGCAATAATCTACAACTACAGCAATAACCAACAGCAGCAGCAATTCAGCAGCAGCGTAGCAGATCTGTTCCGCCAAGACCAAATACATTAACATTGTCATATCCATCACCATGCTAAAATGTTCCGAGAGTTGAAATTAATCATAAGTAGTTCAGTACACTGTCAGCGCCAATAGCCTCGTGGTTAAGTGCGCCAACATATAGTGCAACTGTGGCGACCCGAGTTTGATTCCCATCTTGTGGTCCTTTGCCGATCCCGTTACCCTCTCTCTCTGCCCAATGCTTTCCTGTCACCTCTCTACTGATTTATCGCATTAAAGGCATTAAAAAACCCATAAATAAAACATAAAAAAAAAAAAAAGTAGTTCAGCACACTTAAATCAAATCGCGATATGGACTAGTGTCTGTTAATATTAAGCTGCAAAAAGACTGTTTAAAAATTAATCGTGCATGTTCTGAATGAATGGCGCAGATGCAGTTTCGTTACTACACACATACTGAAGCGTGCGTGATGATCGCGGGGATTTCAGCTTCTGCGTCTCATTAAATGAGGACATAAGTGCATGAACATAATCTCTAGAACTGCTCTGAGAGTACTTCATGAGCATTTTACCATTTATCTTATACACACAGAAACTTAAAGGTCCTCATGGCAACCCGTCAAAATAAAAGTTCGGGTTAACTTGAAGAAATTGTCAGAAATATATTACTATTGTACAGTGTAAAAAACTTTTTTCAAGGACTAATCACACAATATTTGTCACATGTTTTAATTTTAATGGTAAACCCCCTTTGTTTGCCAAAAAATAATGAGTTTAACTTTCATTTGATTAAAAGATAAATTTAATATTTTATGCCTAAAAATTAAAATACACAACAAAAGAATTTCTGAGAAAAAAAACCATACATTTTAATAAATTAAGTTGTTTTTATGCATTCAAATAATTAGACATGCTTAAACAGAATTTTGGTAACAATAAAACAAAACGTGAGAAAATAAAACATATTTCATAGTGCCCTAAAAATTTAATTTTTGTTAAACTTTTAATAAATTAATGTTAAATTGTGTAGGTTTCATGATTTTAATTAATTAGGCATGCTTTTTGATTAATAACATTTAATTTACCCATTAAAAAGGAGCCCAGGAAAATTAAGACGGAATTTGGGAAAAAATAAAACGGATTTCATAGGGTCCTAAGTAACTCAAATAACCACTCGTTCCAACTAAGGTATGCGGAAGAGCATCTCTCAACACACAACATGTCAAACAATAGGCTACAGCAGCAGAAGACCAGCAGAATATTGGAAAAAGGTTGAGTCTCGATTTCTGCTGCAACATTTGAATGGTAGGGTCAGAATTTGACATAAACAACATGAAACCATGGATCCATCCTGCTTTGTAATAGTGATTTAGGCTGGTGGTGTAATGGTGTGGGAGATATTTTCGTCACACTTTGGGCCCCTTAGTACCAACTGAACATCGTTTCAACGCCACAGCCTACCTGACTATTGCTGCTGACCATGTCCATCCCCTTTATGACTACAGTGTACCCATCTTCTGATGGCTAATTCCAGCAGGATAAAGCTCAAATCATACCAAACTGGTTTATAAAACAGTTTACTATACTCAAATGGCCTTCACAGTCACTAGAAATCAATCCAATAGAGCACTTTTGGGATGTGGTGGAACGGGGGATTCGCATCATGGACATGCAGCCAACAAATCTGCAGCAACTGCGTGATGCTATGATGTCAGCATGGACCAGAATCTCTAAGTAATGTTTGCAGCATCTTGTTGAATCTATTTCACAAAGAATAAAAGCAGTTCTGAAGGCAAAAGGGGGTCCAAGCCAGTACTAGCAATGTGTACCTAATAAATTGGCCAGTGGATGTAAAAATATGCAGTGCTGGGTAGATTACTTACAAATTATTACTGATTACGGATTACATGATGAAAACTGTAGTTAGTAACATAATTTAGGTTACTCATTTTAGGTAATGAATTATTTTTATTTATTAGTTTTAAAATGACCATTTAACATACTATATTGATTTAAAAAAACAAAGAGAAAGAAAATATATTGTTTTTTATATTAACATCATAAAATGCATTAAACATGACATTACACCAGGGTTTCCCAAACTATGCTTAATGTAAGAACTGCACTGCAGTGGGTTTGTGAGTTGATAAAAATCTAATAATTAATTAAATCATAAAAATAATTGAAATGCTTGAACACTAAAAATAGAAATATTGTATTTGTTTACCTGCATGTCAGTGTGAGTGTTAACCGATATTTCAGAGAACTGTAAACATGTGAATGTGTTGTTAAATTTTTTAAATATTAATTAAACTATTTTATGTTTAATGAGTATGCCTGGCAAAGACATTTGAATTATGAAGAATTAACCGCCATTGTGTGAATAAAATGTAATCATGCAATCCATAAAAAAAGTAACTGTAATCTGATTATGAGCATTTTAAAATGTAATATACTCTTAATATTTGGAATCTAGTTATGCAATCCAGACTAGCCCTGAAAATATGTATGTTTTTATTTCTATTTATGTATTAATTTCCTTATATATTTTACAGAGGCGGCCTCCTGATAACTCCTTTTATGTACGGACGTGTAATAAAAATCCAAAGAAGACGAAATGGTGGTATCATGGTAAGAACTAATGTTTTAGTCGGTAATAAATAAAACATTTTTAGTGGAAATGCATTTTGAATGTATTTAAAATCTGCATTTTTTTTTTATAGATGATACCTGTTAATATGAACTTTCTAGAACTCCCGGAGGGAAGAAGTCCTACTGAACTATAAAAGCACTTTTTGAAATCATATGGTCTCTGAACTTTAACCTTGGACTCAAACTCAAGCATGGACTCAGACCACAAACATGGGAGATGATGTCAGCTGTGTTACCGGTGGCCAGTTGGATGCATGTTTGGGAAAACTAAAAAACAGTCGAAGAATGGAAATACATTTTTAAAGAGGATGGAAACATACCCGTCAAGGGTTGGTGTGGAAAAATTTAGATAAATCCATGAAAAAGGATTTTTTTTTTTTTTGTAGTGAGATTATTTCTATCTTGGACCATACATATTCCTGTTCATTTTTGTCATTGGTATGTTATAAGGTCCATGTGTCTTGTGCAATAACAAGGATAGGTGCATAGCAGGGCCAATAATGAGAAATCCAAATCAAATTATAGAAGTCCAAAACCAATCTGGAAATTATTGTAGTGTCCTTCGCTTTTTCTCTTTCCTTATATTCGTACTGAAATGATATGCACTGTGATGAAAGACCAGTTCATTCTAACGAAGATATGGCGCACCTCTTTAGCGAGTTTCTGATGTTCCACTGTAAATAGATTAATTTAAGAAAGGTACTGTTTTATCTCATTCATCTCAAGCTCTGCTGTCACTGCAAATGGTGGTTTCATTGTCACTTAAGACTATAATTGGTCCGTTTGAGCATCAAAACCAACCTTGACCATCCATGAACTCATATTTACCTCTACCAAGTCATATGGGATGGAACCAGTGTTGTGTAGGTTTGCCATTAAAGCAGAGCTGTAGGTAACCCAGTATATTGAATGTTAGCAAGAAAGTTCTGTCTTGTGTTCTATGTTATTTGTATAAAATGTTTTTGTTATGAGGCATTCGCTCAAAATTATGTTAAACTATTCCATTTAAAAAATTTGCTTCACCTTTGACACTTTTTTTTTTTTTTTGGTGCAAGTAATGAAAAAGAGTTGTTCAAGAGTGTACGTCTTATTTAATTTGGGGTATTTGTTTTATTCTCTGTAACCTCAGATGGTTTGGAAGTTACTGTGGTTTATATATTCTCAATGTTGATTATCCTGGTCATACTTGCCTGGCTCGGGTCATTTTTTCAAGGACAAAAAGAAAATCACAAATATTCCTAAATATTTTCCATTTGATTATATTTTCTCCTAAAGGACTGTTACATAGTTTAACGAAAAAAACGAAAGAAAAAAAACGAAATAATGCGTATAACTCCCAAAAGTGAGATTAATTAACCTGGCAGCATGTAGATAGACAAATGATGTTATTGCAGAGCACATATTTGATAATGTTTAGATCCTGCACTTTTTCCAAAATGAAATTATTTTAATTCTCCAAAATTGAGTGTTATGATCAAAGATTATCTGGTAGTTTGGTTTTTGTGTTTTCTGGGATTAAAAAACAACAACAACACTTTTTGTTCCCAACATTTGTATATGTTTGATGTACGGTATCTGATCAGTAATGTGCAATCTCACACTGTTTATTAACTTCATACACTCCAAAGATGTATTTTTAGCCATCCATTCAGAACTACTTGAATATTCTAATCCTGGTTTGCTTGTCTTCTTTTCCATCGTCTGTGGTACAGTGTACTTAGACTTCCAAGTGAATGTGTTGGTGTAGAAAAAATGGAGATGGCCATGACTCTTCCCTCTGCACGCAATATCAGGATACTTTATTTTATGTTACACATGTAATTGTCCTTACCACTGAAAGAAATGTGTGGAAATGACAACAGGGCTAAACTTGAATGTGTGTTTGGTGGCTGAGAAAAATATTGACACCTGTCAGCATTTGAAAGGAAGTCAATACGTGTACACACTTATAAGTTTAAGTAGACTTGGGTATCTAAAAAGTTTTCTTTTTTGCTAATAAAGGGTTCTATTTAAATCGGTTTTTGCCAGTTGTAGGAGGTGATAGGAGTTATTGTTTTTCTAACTCTTTCTTTGAGGTTTTTTTTTTTTTTTTGGGTATGTACAAATTATGTCAGTTTTGCCTGTTAATTTAAAGAATAAAAATACAGGTTTTGAGTGAGTCTTCTCATTTACACATTGCATAACCACAGTTATCCACTTTATTAAGTAAAGCAATAAAGACAGGTTAAGTAATCATATTTCTAGTTATGTACAAAGTAATATTTTAGAATGCTTAATATGCTGTACTGTTATTATAATTTATAGCTAATAATAATAATACTAATATAAATGCAGATTACACATTGGATATATTTAATATTAATTGTAGGTAATGTTTATTATACTTGCCATTAATGTATATATTATAATGGATGTACATTAAGTAATAATTATATTTGTAGTTATTTATAAAGTAATATTTTAGAATGCTTAATATTATATTAATAAATATTTGTAGTTATTTATAAAGTAATATTCTAGAATGCTTAATAATATCCATTAATAAAAACGACATTTGTAGTTGTTTATAAAGCAATATTTTGCCATGCTTAATATGATCTATTATCAAAAATTATTATTGTAGCCATTCATAATATTACATGTATTATACGTATATTTATTACCAGAGTGTATACTCTGTAAATAAATAATAAATATATGTGTTAAATACGTTTTAAAATGTCATGTAGTAGCCTATGGTATTTAAATATACAGTGCAGGAAGCCGAACTGTACCATCTGTGCGACAGAGAAGGGGTGCACTCTTTTCGCCATCCTCAAAGAACTAAGTACAAAATTGACAAAAACTGTACTAAATGTAAATTTAAAACATAAATCAGCTAGCAGTGCGGTGCCGTCGTCCAAGTGGGCTATTTTTGGAAAAGCACATGTTGTTCATATGTTGGTTTGGTCCTGGTACCATCAGTTCTCTTTAGTGTTTGCCATCTAGAATGCTTAATAATATCCATTAATAAAAACGACATTTGTAGTTGTTTATAAAGCAATATTTTGCCATGCTTAATATGATCTATTATCAAAAATTATTATTGTAGCCATTCATAAAGTAATATTTTAGAATGCTTATCTGTTATTAATAATTATATTTGTAGTTTATAAAGTATTATTTTGGAATGCTTAATATGATCTATTATTAATAAAATGCATATATATACATATATATATATATAAATATTGTACATTAGATATATAAATCAGCTAGCAGTGCGGTGCCGTCGTCCAAGTGGGCTATTTTTGGAAAAGCACATGTTGTTCATATGTTGGTTTGGTCCTGGTACCATCAGTTCTCTTTAGTGTTTGCCAATGTTGGAGGTGTAACTGGGGTCTGGCCCTGGACGAAGGTAAACTATTATTATTAAATGCGTTGTGGTTTGAAGTAGCGAATGAATTCAGGACTGCACTTGAGACTGCGCTCTGTCGTTTGGTTGTTTGGTGGCGGCACAGGCAGCGTGCATCGATGAGATGTGAGGGGTATTTAGTCGTTCAGCCATGATGTCTGCACATTCCCAGCTGAGTTCAGACCGGTGGCCTGTGTGCTGGAGAGGAAGGCTGTGTTCCAAAACCCCGATTAGGGTTAGAGTTGATTTGAATGTTTAAAGGACTATAATAAATCCCAGCATCGCGTCTTGATAATCATGAGAGAACTAAGAAAATGACAACCTCAGTGAGTGCATAGATAGACATAGAGACAACTGGAAAAAGAGTGTCCTCACTTTTGAGAGTCAGGTTCACAAAGAAAGCTGTCTTCTCATCCACTGCACTAATAAACTCCATGATGGATCCTAGTGGTCAAATGTCACTCCATTGGCTTGATGCTGATTTGCTTCCAGTCCATCATTTGTCACACTGGGTTTAATGATTGATGTCAGCATTGCATTTTATGCTTTTTAGTGTGAAGATTTATGGTACAGGAATTATGGAAATATCAGGTGATTTAAAAAGGGTGAGTGGCCATGGAAGTGATTAAAATCTTTACAATTATTGTAAAAGTCAAGGAAGTTAGTATAATAAATGTTTGTTTTTCCTGATGGTGACTACAGGAAAACAAAAATACTAAATTGATGTTTTTCTTTAGTCACATGTAGAGTGTTTCATTGGCTATTTTTTCATTTATTTTTTAAAACACCCTTATACTGGAACTATGAAAGACTGAAAAAGTCATTGAATTTCTCTGTTTAGAATTTTTTAAAATTATGTTCTCGTCATATTTGATAGCACTTGGCAAACACTGACATGGACATATCAATTCAAACATGAACATTTCAAATACTTTTATTAAACAATTTCTGAATTGTCACCGGATTAAGAGCTGATAGAATATTCATCACATTTCTCACAAATATAGCAGTGCTATTTTAGAATTATTTATATAATATTATAGGATTTATTAATATTTTTTTGAATTCGCTTGCATTTTCAGTTTGCATATTACTTTTAGTTCTAGTATTTTTATTCGTTTTTTTATTTTTATATTTTCATATTTCTATTTATTTTTTATTTCAATTTTAGTTTTTAATTTTAGTACTCCAACTTATATAAAAAAAATATTTAAAAGTCAAATTATTTCAACTTTAAAGCTTGTTTTATTTTGATTGCCAAGTTTTTATGTTTACATTTTAGGTTTGTATATTTATTTAATAATGAAAACTATTATAATAGTTGTTTTAGTTTTGGGTTTAGTTAACAGCAGCAACAATACAGTCATATTTTACTATGATTGTATCCATTTAAGTGGTTGTTGAGTTTGAATACACCTACCTTATTGTTTTGAAAGTAATGCTTTCTTTTGTGTTGCGCTTTGTCACAGCAGTTAACTTTGAGTTAAAAAAAATGTTACAGCCTTGTCTGTTTTAAAAAAGAATGTGTTGCTTGGCTTATCCAGGCCCTTGACCATGTCTGTCCTGTAATGCACTGGAAAATACATTTTGCATGTAGTCTGCAATCCTACAACCTAAATAGTTGATGTTGAGAAAGATTGTTTCATGTTAAATCATGTTTTAACAGCGATAGAGCATGGCTCAAGTGAAAGTGCAGACATCAGCCCCCTTGTCTGGACCTGGCCTGACCGCCGTTGCGCCCGCTGTGGCCATGCCCAGCCCAGGAGCTCTGGGTCTGCAGCCCACCATCAATGGCACAGTGCCAGCCACAATGCCCACCTGCCCCAGCCCTGCCTCTGGCTTTGTGGACTCCACTGTACCAGCCAGCCCATCAGGTACGCTGTGGACATGCAAGTCTGATGCATTTAGCCAGTGTAGTTTATAACGTTTATAGTGGTAATGCTCGTTTTAACCGCTAACACAAGCTGCCGTGGATGTCCTGTGTCCATTAAAGACAGTTGTGAAACCGTTTCAGTTACTAAGCAAATTATGTTTGGGAAAAACAAAGAAAAACAGTGTATGTTGTGTTATGTCAGAGGGATTCTGTTTTCCACTTAATCTAAACAAACTAAATCGAATAACCCAGTGTAATGTAAACATCTGATCATAATAGTTAACATTTATTAGTCAGTTCTGTGGAATGACATTGTTTTAGGTTGATTTTTAATATGGTTAAATGACAGAGTAAACAATTACAGTGGGCCCAAAGCATTTGGACCATTAAAAATGTTTAAATGTGATTTGTTAGATAGCAAAATATGAAACCAGGTGCCATTATTTTAAAGATAAACGGCACAAACACACTTTTCAAGCAAAGCATTTGACAAAAAGATGTTTGTTTGTTTTTAAATGGAAACATACACTTGCATCAAAAGTTTGTGGTTCTTAAAATGTTTTATAAGAAGTCTCTTATGCTTACCTAGGCTTTTTTATTTGATCAAAATACTGTAGAAAAACAGTAATGAATTGTAAAATATTATTACTTTTGTTTAAAATATCTGTTTTCTGTTAATATATTTTAAAATGTAATCTATTCCTGTGATGGCAAAGCTGAATTTTCAGCATCATTACTCCAGTCTTCAGTGTCACATGATCCTTCAGAAATCATTCTGATATGCTGATTTGCTGCTCAAGCAATGTTTTTTTATTATTATTATTTTTTTTTTATCATTTTGAAAAGGATTGTTTAAAGGGGTCATATGATGCTGCTAAAAAGAACATTATTTTGTGTATTGTGGAAACTGTGAGACCTTTTTCAGGATTCTTTGATGAATCGAAAGTTCGAAAGAACAATATTTATTTGAAATAGAAATAGTTTGTAACATTATAAAGGTCTTTACTATCAAGGAATAGTTCACCCAGAAATGAAGATTGTCATCATTTACTCCCCCTCCACTCGTTACAAACCTATATGAGTTTATTTCTACTGTTCAACACAAAAGAAGATATTTTGTAGAATGTTGGTAACCAAACAGTTGACGGTAGCCATTGACTTCCCTAGTTTTTTTTTCTATACCATCAACATTCTTCAGAATATCTTACTTTATGCTCAACAGAAGAAAGGTTTGGAACAACTTGAGTAAATGCTGACAGAATTGAATGCATCTTTGTGGAATGAAAGTTTAATTTCTTGAAAAATAAATCTTACTGACTCCAAACGTTTGAATGGTAGTGTATTCTGTTTTGGACTCATATCTATAATACAGTGAAAAACCTGACATGCATTTGTTCATTCTTGCATGTGATTAAGCTGTCTCTCTTTCTGACAGGCCCTCCTCAAGAAAACATGGCAAACCCTAAAGAGAAAACTCCCATGTGTTTGGTGAATGAGTTAGCCCGTTTCAACAGGATTCAACCTCAATACAAGTTGCTGAATGAGAAAGGGCCAGCACATGCTAAGGTATTGTTAATGAAGGAATGTGATAAATCTAATGGGAAAATACATCCTATATATAACTTCATGATACACTAATTAGCTTTGCACATCCTGAAAGAAATACCAGTGCTTACAAGGCAGCAAAGAATATTGGACATTTTTTGTGAGCTTAGGCTCGCTAACTGACATGCTGCATATAAGCAATGCTTTGCTCTTGTCATGAAACTGAGCACACAATAATTAACGTATGGGGTTATGAATGTGGTTATAAATGGTTAAATAAATGCAAGAAAGATAAAGTATGTGCAATCATATTTCAGT